AAAAATCTCACCATAAAAGTTAGAACCCTTCCCCAACCATTAGAGCTCATCCTAAAAAGTTATAACTCAATTCAAAAAATTGAAACCTGAAAAAGTTTATTTGATGAAATTGAATGTTTATTTGGTTTAAATTTGATGAATTGAATATTAAATGTTATTAGCTGACATTGTTAATTTGTTAAATTGAAATTACTTTGTTGTTGATTTGATGAATTAAATATTTATTATATGATATTTATTTTAATTTGATGAATTCAATGTTAATTTAATAAATTAAATATTAATTGGATGAATTGAATTTTAATATGATGAAGATTATATCACATTTTTATTGAAACTGATTCCTAGTTTCAAATATTGTTGTACTTGAAATTCTTCTGTTAACAAGAATGAGTAGTCTAAGGTTTGAACAAACCAAAACCCATGATTCTATGTCAATGGTGATTTTGGACCAGAACAGATTGTTAAGATCTGCTCAACAACAACATTAGAAGGGTGATGGTAAAGGTAGGCAACAGAGAACTCGGTCCAATTAATCGATCGTGTGAGATCTTTGATAAATGTTATACTCACTCTATGGAGAAACAAGAGATTTTCAATGTTTGTGTTGGTAAAAATTCACCAAAAAATGCAAACTTTTTTAAGTGTTAGTGATCGTTTTGCCTTAGCTTCATCATTTTTATTCTCTAGAGTTGTTCACCACTTAAACTTGGACATGTTACCACGCACTTAACCATGCCTGATGTTTTTCCAAGCAAATCCACAAGCACCAACTTTGGATGATGCCTTAAAACAATATTCTCACCCTCACTCACCACAGCCATTGATCTCATCACATCCACCCTTCATCCATTGAGCACAAACAAGCGTCCACACACCCCAACTCTCAATTGCAATTGACCCAGTGGATTTTGAAGCCCACACAAGCCCATTTTAAAAATACAACTAGCAATAACAAATCTAGAAATCACAACTTCTAACAGAACATCCAAACACAATTTACTCAAAAAAACAGATCAATTTTCCTAATGCACACACCAATATTTATAATTTAATCCATAAATAGCATTCAATTTACACTAGGATTGTGAATATACACTTACAGACGTCTTTGGAAGCAGAGGACTGCTCATATGCCTTTATATCCTAGCACTCCACGAAGAATTCCCTCTGCATCCTCCAATATCTATCCACGTCTTTTGGTCTTCATGCTGGATATTCATGTTCTACCATGCTTCTAGATAAAAGGCAGAAATTTTCTATTTTGCAGGTGCTCAAAGGGAGAAGATCTCTCAGAGGTTATTTCTCTCATCGAAAATGCAAGAGTTTGTGTTTTGGTCTCTTTTGTTCACAGGTCTGTTCAGCTGCCCTATCTCATAGGTTTCTCAACCTATAACACTGTTCACCTTCTTCTCTGATAAGCAGGCTCAAAACTCAAACGTTCAACTCTAACTCCCAGTTCTACCTCAAGCCTCCAGACCTAGCTTCCATCTCAAGCTCAATCATCCAGCGTAAGCTTCCAGCTCAAGCTCTAAGCTCAAACTCCTGCTCTCAGCTCATCAAGCATTCATGGGCGTCTTTTAATGCAGTCATATTATGAGCTAAGTTTTAGGTGACATGAAGGATCATGCTTTATAATTTTATTATTTCTTTAATTCTTGTATCATGCATGCATTGCTTCTATTATTCTATCTATTTTATTTCGTGTAATTAGGTGTAATTTGATTTTTTAATACAATCCATTAAAAAAAAAATCTTTTTTTAAGGATTTTCATGTTAATTTTATGAATTGAATAAATTTGAATATAAATTGGATGAGATTGAATGTTACGAATTAAATGTTTATTAGTTGAATTTTAATGTTAATTTAATGAATTATATGTTTATTAGGTAAAATTAAATGTTAATTTGAAGAATTGAATGTTAATTTGGTGTAAATTTGATGAATTGACTTTTAATTGGATGAAATTGCATGTTTGATGTTGATTTGATAAATTGAATATTTATTGAATGATTTTAGATGTTAATTTGATGAATTATAATATTAAAAGGTTAAAAGTGTAATATTAAAAGTTAAAAGTATAATATTAAAGGATAAAAGTGTAATATTAGACCAGGATCGGTCCCCCATTCCCACAATCGGTCCTAATTCATCATAAAGTAAATTACACTTACTCCCATTAAGTATAACAATATTTTTATTTTTTGTTCCTTATATGTCACATTCAGCATTTTTATTCCACATCTAATATTTTTGTGAACATAAGATCCCTTTTTTGTGAATAATCAATTCATTAAATTAACATTCAATTTCATCAAATTAATATCAAATTAACATTTAATTCATCCAAATAAATATTCAATTCATCAAATTAACATTAAAATTAGGGCAATGATGAGGGTTCTGATCAGTTTTTGTGCTTACTGGTCTTTGAAACCTTGAATTTTTTTCCTTACATTCAATGTGGTTCATACTTCTAATGCTTACAATATGCTTCAGAAAAGTAAATTTCACTATGGCTTTCCACTGGGACAGTAATGTGGATTATGTCTCTATCTCTGCTTTGTTATGTTTCCTCTGGCTCCTGTGGTCGACCTTCAAGACAGAGCTTCTGTAGCAGACGTAACATTCTCATGGAAAGGCTTGGGACTATTTTTCCTGGCCTATCTTCTCTACTCTTCTTGCTGGCTTTTGGCCTTTGTTGGTCGCTCTTTCTCACTTCAATCTCATCCTTTTTGCGTTTCATGGTGCTGATCTGTTGGCTTCTTTACCATGTTCATGTGCTGCTTTTATGGAAGATGGATGGCTCTTCTTCTCTTGCTTCCCTGCATCTGGCTTCTGTTGGAGGGGATGTCCGTTCTGTTTGTTCCCTGATGCAGCCTCTTATGCTGACAGTTGATTGGTTTGTTGAGCTGCATTAGGGTGATTTAATTCTTATTTGGAGTCACTTCAACTTACCGTTGCAGCTGGGATTTTGACCCAACTAGTTCATTTCTTCTAGATTGCATATGGAGGATATCTTCAATTAGGGCATCCTACAGACTTGTGTTTTGGGGGTTTGACTTTTTGGATTTGTACATTTGGGTGTTCCCCTTGTATACTTAGTTCTCTAGTAATACAATTTATTTTTTGAAAAAAAAAAAATCTTTTTTTAAGGATTTTCGATGTTAATTTTATGAATTGAATGAATTTGAATATAAATTAGATGAAATTGAATGTTACGAATTAAATGTTTATTAGTTGAATTTTAATGTTAATTTAATGAATTATATGTTTATGAGGTAAAATTAAATGTTGATTTGAAAAATAGAATGTTAATTTTGTGTAAATTTGATGAATTGAGTTTTAATTGGATGAAATTGCATGTTTGATATTGATGTGATAAATTGAATATTTATTGAATGATTTTAGATGTTAATTTGATGAATTATAATATTAAAAGGTTAAAAGTGTAATATAAAAAGGTTAAAAGTATAATATTAAAAGATAAAAGTGTAATATATAATACAGGATCGGTCTTTCATTCTCAGATTGGTCTTAATTAAATTATACTTACACTCATGAAGTATAACAGTATTTTTATTTTGTTCTTTCAACTAATATTTTTATTCCACAATTATTATTTTTTTTAAGATAAAATATAGGGGTGTGTTATCAGTTTCGTGTCGTATCACTTTCGATCGTATTAATAAAAAATTATTTAATTTGACAACGATTAATATAATACTATTTAAAAAATTATAAAATTCTTCTTTTTTATCTAAAATACTTTTTAGATAATTATTTTCTATTTACGGTACCCATTTATTACTTGTGTCAATGAATCGTGTAATTTTCGGATTCGTGTCAGTTCGAGTCAAAAAATTGACACCCATAATAAAATACATAGACAAAGTAAAAGTAAAATAATTTTTCTTTGGATTCGTGTCGGGTTCAATTCGAGTCAAAAAATTGACACCCATAATAAAATACATAGGCAGAGTAAAAATAAAATAATTTTTCTTTGATATTAATAATTGGGTTATCGGGTACAATTCCATTCGGTACAAGTTTAATGAATGGATTACAATTAGACTGAATATGGTATAACTTTTGCTTAACTAGGTGTCTTATAGTTATTATCGAAAATAATCGGTTGCATCGATTTTAATGAATTTTAAAAAAACATGTGTCACCCATACAGGCGAAGCCACTTTTCGGTACGGGACCGAAAAGTAGCTTCGCGGTACAGCAGTGTTACCCAAATCTATATTCATCGTCCCCACCATTTGCATCTTCTTCAATCCTCGAAATCCTCACCAATGGCAATCGCTTCTCTGCAAAAGCTCTCTTCCCGAATATCCATTAACCCTTCGCTGTCTCTCTATTCCAAAGCAATCATCACAAGATCATCAGCTTCATCGTCAACGCCAACCCCATCCACCTCCAAAAAAGTCTCGGACCGAATCGTGAAACTCTTCGCAATCGACTTCGACGGGAAAAAACAAGAGATCGTCGGCCTGTCGGGCCAAACACTCCTGAAAGCGCTTGCCAACAACGGCTTGATCGATCCGGCGTCGCATAGGCTCGAAGAGATCGACGCGTGTTCGGCTGAGTGCGAGGTAAATATTGCTCAGGAATGGCTGGAAAGATTGCCTCCGGCCTCGTACGATGAACAGTATGTGCTAAAAAGGAATTCGAGGAATAGGGTTTTGAATAAGCATTCGAGGTTGGGGTGTCAGGTTGTGCTTACTCAGGACCTTCAAGGGATGGTTGTGGCCGTGCCGGAGCCGAAGCCGTGGGACATTCCGTAAGAGAGGTTTGCCAAATTGATATTAACTATTGTAAGGTTCTCTGGATGGATTTTGAGGGGATTTTATTTGAGTTAATAACGTGCATACTTTTGGAACTTCATATGGCTTAATGCTTGAAGTTGTTGTGAAAAAATGTGGGAAGTTTGATATGGATTTGTTGCTTAACTGTGTTGTGTGGGGTATGAGGTGCATAATTGGTTCTTGTACTTTTTGCTATTTGATTGGTAGTTGTTAATATTCTTGCTATAATCTCCCAATGGCCAGAATTGTTTAAATTTAGGGAAGAAGTCTTGGAATTTTTTTCCTGCATAAACTTATGTGGTAATTGGATGTTACTTGTACAATTATCTCATTTTCTTGCAATCATTAAAAAGTTTGCCCAAGTAATTTATTGGTTGGACTTCCCAAGATTGAATGTTTTAGTTCTCATCCATTTTATCATGGGGTAAAGTTTTGCTCAAGATTGCAGCTTACATTTTGAACTTGAGTACCCTGTAGGAGGTGTCTTGAGGTGAATAAGTTGATTCAGGCATGGAGAATGAAGTGGGGCTTGAGTTTTTGAAAGTGCATAGACTGGATTCAGTGCTGGTTATTACATCAGTTCAGGTCCAAGGATTGGATAGGAGGAGGCTAGAACATTACTAGGTTATTCTGATCATTAACCTGGAAATATTTGAACAATTCATTAGGGTAGAAAATGATGTCATCCTGAAGACTAAAATGGGTGACTGAGGGAATTGGTATATGGTGAAGATCAGTTATTTTTAAAGAAGACCAGGCTTTCGCCTTCTAACTAATACAAAGAAAAAGGTTAAGATGTTCTCCCTGAAGAAAGATTTTGAATAACACTTCTCTTTTATCCCCCCCCCCCCCCCCACTCCTCCGGCGGGGTAGAATGGTGGCAAGTTGAGGTACTTTCCTCGATAACATGTTTTAGAAATGTTTTTGGGCTGTGATGTGGACGGATTTCAAGCTTTCTCGATGCTAGGACTTCAACTTGAAGTATGCTGAATGCTATAAAGTACATGGGTGTGTTATTGAACAAAGATTCTTTGATGCGCTACTCTGTTATTTGTGAGGTTTAGGACCTATCTTCCAACTCTTGCATTCAATCTGTGGACTAGTAGTCGTGTATTTGTATAAGGGGGACTTGTCGTCTTTATTATTGGTTTGTTGGCAATTTAGTTGGAGAGCTTGTAGGAGAGATTGTGGAAGGCCGTTGGTGGATTCTGTAGAATTCTCTTTGCTTAATTGGTGTCTCACTGATTTCCATGGTAGAACACTCGTGGACTATGCAAACCTTCCTGGGATGGTTCCTTATGTATGATAGTTCTCATATGAAGATATTTCTCATATAGCTACTTGGAATTTTTGTACCTCGAGATTCTCCAGCTCTGACCTCATCAAGCAGAGTTGGTCAGTTCAAAATGGGTCTTTCTAATGAATTTGGCTATGGTCCAAACTTTTTAAGGATTTACCTATACCCTATCTTCATGTCAATTCTATGATGGGCTGATTGATTGTGTCAAGAATTTGAGCCCTAGCTTTTGCCAAACATAAACTGAAAGTGGTCTCTCTCTCTCTCTCTCTCTCTCTCTCTCTCTCTCGGGTCTGGAGATGATGCTTTTATATTTCATGGTTTGGGCATGGCACAGCTTAATGACCTAAACAAATCCCCCATTGGGGGCTAAATAGGAAGCCAAATCCAATGAATCTTGGTTCATGGCTGACCCAACCTGTCCGAAAATGTAAAATTGCAGCATTTATGATGTCTAAGAACCCTAATCTTTATAAGATGCCATTGTGTCTATTTGTACACCCATTAGTCTTTATTCTTCCAACACCCTTGCTTCCCGTACACTGACTATGAATTCTTTCTCTAAAATTTCTGTGTTGTGTAGAGAAGAACATTCATCCAAGCAAGTTGGCTTCTTGTTTTATTTTTGGTCATTAGTTGGCTTCTTGTTTGGATCTCGGCAAACTACAATCCGTATAATTTTCATATCACAAACTTGCAATCCAAAGGTTTAGCTAGTATCACTCGCTCGAATCTGACCTCCTAACTGATTTCTCTGGCCTTTATTGTCCTTAATGCACATGCTTTTCCTTCTATCTAGGCTAGCCATCTCTTTCATTTTTTAGGCCCCTTTCGTGAGCAAAGGCACTCTGTCCC